AAGGCTTATTTATTTATTGATTGATTGATTGATTGAGACAGAGTCTCACTCTGTTGCCCAGACTGGAGTTCAGTGACATGATCTCAGGTCACTGCAGCCTCTGCCTCCCAGGTTCGAGCAATTCTCATGCCTCAGCCTCCTGAGTAGCTGGGATTACCAGCACGCCACCAAGCCCAGCTAATTTTTTTTGTTTGTATTTTTAGTAGAGATGGGGTCTCACTGCATTGGCCAGGCTGGTTTCAAACTCCTGACCTCAAGTGATCCGCCCGCCTCAGCCTCCCGAAGCGCTGGGATTACAGGCATGAGCCACCGCGCCCGGCCTCGAGGCTCTTTAATTGCCAAGGGACTCCTGGGGTGGAAGTGCTTTGATTCCTTTGCTGAACCCCTTCTGCGGAGGGCTGCAGTTCCCACATGGCCCGTGATGGAGGAATATTTGCACTTAGGGCAGAGTCTCCCCACCTGATGCTCCAGCAGGTCTGGGATGGGGACTGCCCTCTGGCCAGGTGACAGCTGGTTACAGTTCACTATGTGGAATCGCTGGCACCAAGATGGTTTCCTGGCATCCTTTTTCTCAGGGCACAACACCCCTCCTGCATTGATGATCCCGAGTCTCTTTGCTCCGTGTCTTCACCCACCCGGCCTTCACTCATCCGAAGGTAGCCTCAGAGGCTGGCAGGGGCAGTCTGGGCCATGGCTCAAAGGCTCCCTTGATACCTGCAGGTTTCCTGGGTGGAGACACAGCCTGTTGCTCTGGGTTGAGCTTCTCTGGGTTGAGCGATGTCCCATTTCCCAGGTCCCACCGGCCAGAGCATCTGAGGCTCCCTGAGGGTTTGGCAGCTTCACTGTATCCAGAGTGAGACGCAAATGCAGTGAGACTGGAAGTTTAATTTCTTGGATGTGGCAGCTCCCACGCCGCCCCCAGACCTGTGCTGTGCCAGGTGCGGCTAGTTATGCAGGATGTGCCTGTAACTGCGCCCGCGGGGTATGGGGCATGGCACATGTGCCACACCTTGTCCCGTAAATGGATGTGAGACCCCCGAACAGCCCCAGGGATGCCACAAGGCAGGTGTTGTTAACAAATATTGACAGGGCACCTACTGTGTGCCCGGCTCAGAGCTGGGCACTGAGGAGATGATAACACAGCAAATAGCGGTTCCCCTGCCATGGAGCTTCCCTTGTGGTTAGAGGAGACAGGCAGTAAATGAGGGTTTCACAGGTCCAAAGGTCGGTGTGTTACGAAAAAAGGGAGGCAGGTGAGGGCAGTCTCGAGTGCCGGGTGAGAGTGAGGGTGGCAGTTTGCCATGAGAAGGTGGCATGTGAGCAAAGATGTGAAGGAAGTGAGGGGCTCGCCAGGTGGCTGTTTGGAGGAAGACAGTCTCCAGAAACAGGAACCGCCAGTGGTCAGGTCCTGAGGTGGGCGGGCTGCCGGCTGCTGCAGGAGCGGCAGAGACGACTGTGGCTGAAACGGGGATGAGGGAGAGAGGTGAGTGGGAGACCAGGTCAGGGACCAGGGGCCCAGGTCCACCAGCAGATCGGGGGCAGCCTGGGGGCAGGTAGGCAGGCCACACCTGAGACCATGTGCTGGCTCCCCAGCCTCTTCCAGCCTCACCCACCCGGGGCCCAGGGCAAAGCCCAAGGCAGAGCCGTCTGTGGAAAACATCTGCCTCCCCACCCTTGTCATGTTTAGTTGTAGATTTTGAAAGCGAAACCTTCACTGGGGTCCCCTTTGCTCAGGTCAGAAGAGCCAGGCTAGCCGAGCCCTTCCTTCTGTGTTCTGGGATACCCGATTGGAGCAGGGGTCTGGGAGAGGGGCCACTGAAGTGTGCCCTGCATGGGAGGCCTCAGCTCAGGGAGGCTGAAGGAAGTGACCAACCTGTCTCGGGTTCCTCAGCCGAGGTTCTTATTCTCCTTGTAAAGACCAGACGGGGGTCAGGCGTGGTGGCACGCACCTGTGGTCCCAGCTAGTCCAGAAGCTGAGGCGGGAGAATGGCTGGAGCCCGGAAGTTCAAGGCTGAAGTGAGCTCATCACACTACTGTGATCAGTCTGAGTGACAGAGACCCTGTCTCAATAAACTTTTTAAAAAAGAAGACCTAGTGGGGCAGGCACTGGACAGGGAGTGGGGGACGCAGCCAGGCTCTGCTCCACCATCAGGAGCCATGTGGCCCAGAAAAGGTCAGCCCAGTTGTCTCAGCTCAAGGGACTCAGTTTCTCCATCGTCATAATGGGGGAAATAGAGCTGGCGAGTATGGTCAGTATGAGGTCTAAACCGGTTGATTTCTGCCTGGCGGGACAGCCACCCCTGCGGGGTATGACCTTGAGCCCCAAGCCCGTGCACATCAGCCATGCTGCCTGGCCTCACACTTCATGCAAAGAGAACAACAGCATGGCTTTCTGGATGGAAACTGGGAGCACCATTTCAGAAAAGCCAGGCCTTGCTCCTGCCCACCTCCATTCCGGTGACCAGACTCCCTCACTGCCCCTGGGAGGGCCGAGGACCGGAAGCCCTGGTGACCAGACTGCCTCACTGCCCCTGGGAGGGCCGAGGACCGGAAGCCCCGGTGTCCAGACTCCCTCACTGCCCCTGGGAGGGCCGAGGACCGGAAGCCCCGGTGTCCAGACTCCCTCACTGCCCCTGGGAGGGCGTGTCCAGACTCCCTCACTGCCCCTGGGAGGGCCCAGGACCGGAAGCCCCGGTGACCAGACTCCCTCACTGCCCCTGGGAGGGCTGAGGACCAGAAGCCCCGGTGTCCAGTCCCTCACTGCCCCTGGGAGGGCTGAGGACCGGAAGCCCCGGTGTCCAGTCCCTCACTGCCCCTGGGAGGGCCGAGGACCGGAAGCCCCGGTGTCCAGATCCCTCACTGCCCCTGGGAGGGCCGAGGACCGGAAGCCCCGATGTCCAGTCTGCCATCAGCCAAACACATGCAGAGCCTTGATGGGTATTTCACATGTGCCCTGTGACCATCAGCTTCTGCAGAGAGAACTTAGGCCACTCCCGACCTCTGCATCAGCCCCTGGATTTTGGCAAGATTCCTAGACGATTTGCATGCACCAAGGATTTGAGAAGCTCTGACCCAACGGAGCAGCCCACACTGTGGGCCTCAGATCCTTCAAGACCAGAGTGTAGCTGGAGTCGTGGTGTGGGGCTGGGCTCCTCAGTCTCTAAGGTAAAAGCAGAAGTGAACGTTAATTGCCAAGGAGACCAGCTTTTATTTGCCTTTCTACCCCTCCTGCCCCGGAGCCACCAGCAAAGCTGTTCTGACGCACGCTTCTTGGCAGACGGCTTTTCTTACCTGAGCACGGTTTTTGGTGAGGCTTATTGCTGGTCAGAGAGGTGTCCTTGTCTCTGCCAGGCCTGTCGCTGCGGCAGGCTCCCTGCCTAGGAACTTTCATCGGTGCATTCCTCATAAGAACACTGTGAGGAGGGAGTGTGATGCCCATCCCATGGCTAAACATGTGAGATGCCCCAGGTCAAACAGCTAGGGACAGGCAACACCAGAATTCATCGCCCTAACCCATCCATTCATTCATCATTGACCCCTCATCCCTCTACTCATCTCTTCATCCCCCAACAGCCACCCACCACCCACCCATCCTGCCACCTAATCATAAGTCATTGTTACAGAATCACATTTTGGGTGGGATTTTTATTCTTGCGTAAGACAAAAATTTTACATGTTCCAAATCACTCCTGAAAATCCCTCAGGTTACCCATGAAACCCAGGAATGCTTCATCTCTCTGCCAGCCCCACAGAGCCAGTGTTTGCTCCAGCGCTGGGGAAAAGCAGCGAGAGCTGACATTCAGGAGCCCTTGAGTTCAAGAACATCCTTATCACCAAACTCCAGAACTCAGCCGGAGGCTCCCACTCCATACAGGGCCGTGGGAACTGAGGCCCACTGAGGGGCCAGCAGATTCACGTCCCCCCACTCATGTCTGCTCCAGTGCATAAAGGAACAGATCCTCAGTGCTTACATCATTTTTCTTATTTTCCCGCACACATGCCAGCTGGCTGTGGGATCAGTGAGAATGCCTCTACACCGCACAGCCAAGGGCGGGCTCACTCCCACGCCATCCCCTCACGGCCTCAGCGGCCTGCTTGTCGGTGCAGGATCTGAGGCTGTAATAACAGGAGCACAATGCCTTGACCAAGGGAGGTATTTTTCCTGCTCTGCTCTGCTCTGAGGTTTAAGGATCTCTATTCGGGAGCCTTAGCGCAGAGGGACAGAACGTATTGGATGGCGCAGGGCCAGAGAAGGCTTTCAGGATGGCAGAGGCTTGAGGAACACACACCCTGTAGAGATAATTCTGGAAACTGTGGCCGTGGCTTTGCCTGTCCATCTCTTAGGAGGTTTTGTGAGGAGTGGTTGGGTTTGTTCTGTATGGTCCCAAGGATCCGGACGAGTGCTGAGTGGACCTTAGGCGATGGGTTTTAGTTCAGTGGAGGAAGAGCTTTCTAGTAGGCAGAGCTATCCAAAGACAGTGTGAACCTCTCTTTGAGGCAGTGAGCTCCCAGTCAGGGGAAGTGTTCAAGGGGAGGACGCAAGCACTTCTCTGGAGGCTGGGAAGGAGTTCCTAAAGCAGGAGCAGTGAATTCGTGACCCACAGGCTCACGCAGCCCTGAGCTTCTGTTTCCAAGCCCTAAGATGTGTTGTTGATAGAGACAAGGCTCAGCCCGGCTCTGGCCTTCATTCAGCTGTCATAGTCTCATCAGGTATAAACGTAATTTAGACAGATTCCTGTTAAGCCAGAAGGAAAAAGAGGCAGAGGATCCCCCTTGTGTGGGCACTTGGTCCCCCTCTTTTCTGACGCCCTGGATCTGCATATCCTCAGCTGCTCTCTGTTCCCCAGGAGCCCCGTTAACCAAATCATCTGGAGTTTAAGTACATGGTTCCCACCAAACACAAGCTGACTTCTCTACCTGGTGTTGGCCAGTGACTCAGGAGCAGCCCCAGTTCTTGGGGGAGCAGCCTGCTGCACTGCTGTCATTAAAGGGCTTCCAGGATGACGGCAGCGGGCCCCAGCTTGCACCCGCGCCACAGCACCACGCTCTTTGCGGGAAGGCAGTCCTTGCTGCGAGTCCTGTGGGCTGCGGGAGAGGAATTAGCACCTGCTGTCCCTGGGGCATCGCTCTGGGGGCTTGACCAGCCTTTGCTATCTCACTAGGCCCTCTGGACTGTGCCCTCTGGACTTCCTGGAGATCAGGCCCTGAGACTGACACTGTCCCTCTCTGGCCAGCCTGGTTCTGAGGTGGGTCTGTCTGACTGTGCCATCTATGCTCTCTGCCTGGGTCCCTGGCAGGGCGCAAGGGACTTTCAGAAGCACCGTCAGGTGCTGATACCAAAAAGTCATGGCTAACAGCGTGGACCCTGGAGTCAGACTGCCTAGGTCAGTTCCCCTGCCCATACTCCCAAGATGTGTGGCCTGAAGTACAGCACGCCGGTTTCTCAGCTTGCTCTAACATGGGGATACCAGTGGCTGCCCCTTCACGGAGCTGTCGGGAGCCTGGGTGAAATGATACATGCAAAACACAGCACCTGGCATGAGGTCACTGCTCCATAAATGTCAGGCATTATAATTTTAACAAGAATAATAAAAATGTATAAACATTGTATAATATAGTCATAAAATATAATAATGATTAAAATTATTATCATCATTTTTTTTACTTATGACCCCATGAGCCTGTTTCCATCACCAGACGCTAATGGTGGACAGCGAGTGATGCTTTTGTGCCAAGAAGACAGTGGGGTCTGTGGAGCAGCCTCAGTCTCTGGGCACAGAGGAAGCCTGCCATCCTGGATGGCGGGAGAACAGCGGCTCCTGAGTGTCCCCCACCTCCTACCCGCTCTACAGCTCCTCCTCGAGGCTGGCAGAGCCCACCTACCACCAGGGCGGGGAGTCTGGCCCTGGAAGGACGCGCTCCCTAACCCTGTACCCCACTCCCTCTCTCTGTCTTTCCACCCACCCTGGATGTGTGGAGAGCCTGGCAGTCAGCCCAGTTTCTGAAAGGTCTCATGTGTTTGAATTCACTCCAATTTATGGAACCGATTTTAAAACGAAGGAGCGGTGACGTCTGGACTGTGCCATTAGGGCCTGCCTCCAGAGTGGAAAGGTGGCTGAAATCTGTCGGTTTACAAAACGCGCCAACTCCCACGGGAACCTCTGCCCCTTCCCGGGGTCTGGCCGGGGATCACCGGGACAGGAACACGCATGCTCTCCTTGCCCTCGCACACGGGTCTCTGCGCTCCGGCGAGTGCCCGCAGCCCGTGGGGCGGATGGCTCCACACTCAGACCCCTCTCAGATGGGCGAGGCCGGCCTGGCGCGATGTGTCGCGGCCCACACATGCTACTTCCACGCTGCACATCCCTGATGTCCTCTGCAGGCCTCCCTCCTGTGGGAAATCGAATCCCAGTAGGGCACAGGGACAGACTGGAGAGAGCTGCGTGATTCCTGTTTCTGCCGCTCTGAGCAGCTCGCTGGCTCTGCGGGAGAAGTATATTTATTCGACGCAAGTGCAAACCACGCCTCAGCATAACGGAGGCCTTGGAAAACCAGCTGCACGAAAGCTGCACTTGTTTCAGCTCTGCCTTTTTTTTTTCTTTTCCTCCTACCCTCTTAGGAGAGCCAGTTTTCCCTCCTTTTAATTTTTGTTGTTAAAAGCACCATTAAGTCCGAGCTGAAGCAGATTGTTCTGCCAAAAGGAAGACGAACTATTAGCTGGATTCTTTTTTTAAATTATTGAAGTGAAATTCACATCGCGCAAAATTAACCAGTTTAATGGAACGTTTCAGTGGGGTTTAGTCCATTCATAGTGTCGCACCACCATCACCTGTATCTAGTTCCAAAACATTTCAGCACCCAAAAGGATACTCCTCCCCACTAAGCAGTGGCTCTCCCCATCCTCTGCGTGACAACCACCAGTCTGTGCTGTCTCTGATTGACCTATTCTGCACCTGTCATATAAATGGAATCACGCAATCTGAGGCCTTCTGTGCCTGGCTTCATTCACTTAGCACAGTGCTCTCAGGGTTTATCCATGTCATAGCTTGTATCTGTACTCCATTCCTTTTGATGGCTGAATAATATTCCATTGTATGGATATACCATGTTTTGTTTACCCATTCATCGGGTGATGGCCATCTGGGTTGTTTCTACCTTTCGGCTACTGTGAATAATGCTGCTAGGAACATTCATGTACAAGTACTTGTTTGAATACTTGTTTTCAGCTATTTTGAGTATATACCTAGCAGCGGAATTGCTGGGTCATATGGTAACTCTGTGTTTAGCTTTTTGAGAAACATCCGAATTCTTTTAGATGTTATTGAACACCTAGTGTGTGTGCCAGCCTGTGCCAGGTTCTGACTTCACCCTCCTCAGAGCCCCAAAACTCTAGGCTTCCCTTGGGCAAACCTGGCTTATTCCACTCATGCTAAAGAGGGCTTCTTCATCCCCATTACCTGCCACTTGGATAAGTCAAAATGAACCTCAGAAACAGACACCGAACACAGCCACCTGAAAGCTGGCCAGAGAGCAGGGCTGTTTGCATTTCCCCAATCCTTTGGAATTCTTTGCAAAGACATGGTAGATCAATTCTAGCTCAAATATAGCAAGCAAACTGGCATTTTGCAAGAACTTTGCCAATGATCGCAGTGTCCAAATGGAAGTTCCTAGACCTAGGAGCTTGCTGCAGGTCTTCCTCCTTGATTTGTCCGTCTATGCTGAAAGCAGGCAAGGTGGAAACTCCTTTTTAATCTCTCCTCTCCATAGGGAGATACCGAAACTGCAGTCTCTATATGGCTGGAAGGACTGGCATATTCTAGCACAAGGGTCTCCAGATACACATGGACCAGGCCACCTGCCCTGGCTCAGTTTCAAGAAGGAATATCTGGTACATGCCCAGATACTGCGTATTCAGCTCAGGAAATAAGCAGGCAGTCATGTGATCTAAGCCGCTGACATCTTTTTGTCTTCCTTATTCCTTCTCCCTGCGCAGGGGGAACGCTCTTCCTATGGGACTGGATTAAAATTCAGTTATGCCTCTTGAAATTGCTGGTTACCAGGAGGTAACAGAAAGCCCTTCCATCACTTTAAATCCCAGAACCCACTTGTGATTTGTAAATTATGTTATCTACTGCAAAATTATTATGAACACATAATTTTCCCTCAAAGATCTGAGTGGCTAGAGGGTTTAAAGTGTAGCATTCCTGTGAAATCCCACCTTTCATTTTAATTGGGAAACATTGCTTCTGAACACACCCCCTTGGTTGGTGCATCAGGGCAGGCCCACCTCAACTTCCGGTTACTGTGTTCAGTCTGTGGCCCTGAGCCGCTCTGAGACTTCCCACTTGCCAGGTCCCCAGCCTTCGGGCTGCTCTTAGGGATGCCTGTGGTCTCCACCTCTGGAGGAAACCCTTCATGCCTTGAACAGAATGTTGGAACATGCTCAGCCCCATCCAAGTCTGGGATGTGGGGGAGGAACAGGCTATGTGGTCAGCTGCCTGGATCTGAGGATCTCACCTCATTACCTACTAAGTGTGTGACACTAAGAAGGCCACCTCTTTGGGCCCTGTCATCTTACCTATAAAATTACTAATCATATTCCCACCTCCTGAGACTTGGCAGAAACACGTGCGTCAACATATGTGAACATACCCAGACTACACCAGATGCTTGGTACGTGTCATCTAGTGGGACTTAATGCTGCTGTCTTTAAGTGCAGATGGCAGGTAGGTGACAAGACCCACATAGGTAATTTTCTTGGGAAGTGTCTCTCCCTTGAGATTTCCCATGTGTAAGAGAACACACAACTTGGGGAAATCAAACCATGGGTGCCGCTAGGTAATGCTCCCAGCAGGAAGCCTTCGCATGTGCATGCAGTAATCACCGAGTTATGGTCCTCTTTGAAATGCTAATGTGGACTTGTTCCCTTGAGCTCATTTCATCTGGGGAGCCAGAGGCACCAAGAGGTTGGCTGGTGCCTCCTGGTGGCTCCCTTCCTGCCCCACAAACGGAAATCATTTCTTCTGGCAAAAGGACAGGATTGGCTTCAGGGCCGTGGGCTCGATTCAGGCACGTGCCTTGAGTGTGTCGTGAGACTGATCTCAGAGAATCATCACGGGTCTTCTTGCTGACGTGGAGACACCCAGCACTGTGCCAGGCACACAGTGGGAGTTTAATAAATGTGCGGTAAGGCTGCTTAGAGTCTGAGGAACTGAAATGCTTCACGGCCGCACTCCAGAGAGCAGGAGGGAGGCAAGTCTGCAGTGGAGGGCAGAGAAGACCGGGGTACCCTTAACCACAGCCTGAGGGCCTGGACATCCCCAGGGCATGGGGTGGAGAACAAGGAACTTGGCCACAACCTCTCCAGCTGCTCCCCTAAGGAGAAAGGCACAGGCATTTCCAAGATCGGGAAGGGGGACTGACCAGGGGCTCACGCATTGGATAGTGAGTCCAGCTGCCCCTTGGCTACCTTCACGGGCCCTGTCCAGGTTTGGGGACCCCATATCACTGAGACAGGAAGAATCCCTCTGCTGGGTTCCCTAAACTCACCCCCACACCCTGTTCTACCAGGATGGATGCTCTCAAGACCCTGGGAGCAGCCCACTTCCTCAGGGGGCCAGCCCACAGGCCAGGCTTGTTCTGCAGATGGATGTCCTCCCAGCCCTGGGCTGGGGGCACAGAGGCCCCGATGATCACCACCCAGGGTGAGGAACACTAGGATGGAAGGGTGTGCAGGGGACTGTGGGTGCCTCAAGACTGAAGCCTCAGGTGCAGGAGGCGGGGATGCATTTCACAAAGGGCTTGATCACCGGGACCAGGTCACACAGGCATGTTGCGAGGCAGAGGAGTGAGGACATGAAAGGGCGTGGCTGGGTGGGAAGGCAGCCTGGATAAGGGACAGAGAGAAGAACTGTGGGTCCCTGCATGCAGGGATGGCGAGGGAGGACGCTGGATTCATGCCAAGGGCCCTAAGTGCCATCTTCAAGAGCTGGAACCTAACCCTGCAGGCCATGGCTACAAAGGCAGCCACAGGCCGAACCCAGACTTGAAGGTGCTGGCCTTCCGGGGCTTTTTTGGCCTGCATGGTGTTTTTAAAATATGAGTCAAAAATGAAAAATAAGAGATATTTCGCATCAAAATCCCGATGTCTGGCTTCTCTTGAAAAATGGAAAAATCTGGAAACAGTCAGTTTTAACTATCTCGGAGCCGCTCCCTCTAGATAAGATATCCAGGGCACCACGGTCGCCCTACTCCTAGTGTCTCTCTGGCCTGGAAATTGAGCGCCAATCACCATTTACCATGAGGCTTGCATGCTTTTTTTCTAATAAAGGCGACTTGGAACCACATGTCTGTTAAAATGAAATATAGACCAAGTGGGCTGCTTTGTGATTTTTGCGAAACAAGTCTGTTTCTTGTGTCTGTGGAACCTGTGTATCTCTGTAGGCAGCGGACTTTGAAGCCCTGCCAGGGAGTCATTAAGGAGTTTGTCAGGATTTATAGCTGTAGACGGCAGAATCCACTCCAGCCAGTTTAAGCCAAAAGAAAAAAGGGTAGTGGGAGGTTATTCAGGGGTCCAGAGACCTCAGAGAACAGCGCTTCCAGGAATGGTTCCCAAGCTCTCCTGCCAGATCTGGAAGCTGCCCCCTAGCTGCTCGCTCAGGATCGTGCTCTGTCCCCACCCAGTTCTGCCGAATCTAAATCTCACTGGGACACCTCGGAGAGGTGGACTGTGAATCACACCTGCATCCTAGCAGCCAAGGCAGCAGGGAGATGTGCAGTCAGGGCTGGAAGGTGGGGCTTGCGCTGTGGAAAGCGTCCACATGTGGAGAGGGTGACCAAAAGCTGCAAACGGCCACTCCAAGCTCTGGAAAGGGAGGTAGCTTTGGTGTCTGGGGGTGTCACCAGTGGAGATCTAGCCACGCCACTCACTTTGCACCCTGGAGTAGTCCCGGAACAGGACCTTCACACCACCAGAAGGCTCTGAGTACACAGTATCAGGCCCAGCTCAGAGAAGGTGACCCCCAGTCTCCCAGCAACCCCAGAGCCTGGGATGGTCCTGGCTGGCTGGTCAGCCAGGCCTCCAGCAGCCTCCCGCAGCTGTGCCCACCCTCTAGCCAAGTGGCTTTGCTTGGCTTTTGCGTGCCTTCCTCCTGGCCTGGCCCTGCCAGCTGACTGCCCAGGCTGCCGGTCAGGACAGCTGTGTCACTATTTCGGAACTCTTTGTTCTGTTTGTGGAATTCAGAGGAAGCCTGTGCCAGCTAGGAGACTGGGCTCAGCTATTTCCCAGCAGCTGATAACAGCTGGGATTAAAAGATGAAAAACCCTGCACATGGCCCAGCCCTGCCTGTGACACAGAAGCCAGGCGCACATGTCCAAACTCAGACGCTCTGTGGTGTCTGCTCCTGCCCCACCCTCTTGTCGGTGGCTGCCTCTGTCCAGAGCCTTGCCCTGCTCCGCACCCTGCCCTGAGGGCCGCAGATTCCTCGGGGACCATTTGCAGGGCTCTGAGGCACCTGGCCAGGTGCTTGCTACAGGCAGGGTATCGTATGAGCCTCATAATAATCCAGAAGGCAAATGCCATGTTGTGACCAGTTTACAGATGGGGAAACTGAGCCTCAGGGAGTGTAGGTGGCTTGCTCAGGGCCATGCGGCAGGTGACTGGAGAGCTGGGATCCACCCAGGTGTGTTTGGCCTCAAAGCCTCCACTCTCCGTGACCTCACTTTCCTTTCTGATTTGCAGCTGCTGCAACTGCCTCTGCCAGATACACCCAGAAGGGTCATTTCTGCCTTCCAGGAGGTTCCTTTGACACAGAGCCTCCCCCAAGCCCCTCAAGCCAGTACCCCAGTAGGGAGCACAGCGTGACAGCGGAGGCAGTGCCTCTGCCAGCTTGCAACTTGGGGCCAGTCACTCCTTTTCTACTGGGCATTCGTGTTCTTATTTCATTTATTTGACCGATACTTATGAAGCTCCTACTATATGCCAGGCACTAGGAGATAAGAGAGACGAGGTTTATCCCGCTAAGAAGTCTGCATTCTAGCAGGATGGAAACATGCAGTGAGCCAGGACAGGATGTGACCGAGTGAAGGCGGGGCTTGTCTGGTGGGACTGCCGGAGAGGGCCTCCCTGATGAAGTGACATTGAGCTGAGACCTGAGTGACAAGAAGTAGCCAGGCTGGCGAGTGGGCAGGGCTTCCCAGGCACAGAGCCCCCCTGCCCCGAAGGAGGATTGCGGCACTGGGATGAAAGAGCAGAGAGGAGGTCCTAGTGGTTCACCGGATAGGGGGACCTGAAATGAGACCAGAGATGTAGTCAAGGGACAGACCAGACAGGGTCAGGCAGGCCAAGGTGAGGTGACTGGATCTTTTTTTTTTTTTCTGGAGGTGAGGTGGCTGGAGGGCAGTGGTGCAATCTTGCCTCACTGCAACCTCAAACTCCTCAGCTCCAGCTCTCCTTCTGCCTCAGCCTCCAAAGTAGCTGAGACTACAGGTGCACACCGTGTGTGTGTGTGTGTGTGTGTATATATGGTATTTTTTGTAGAGATCAGGTCTCACCATGTTGCCCAAGTTGGTCTTGAGCTCCTGGCCTCAAGTCATCCTCCCGCCTCGGCCTGTAAACTACTGGAATTACAGGCATGGGCCACCGCACCCAACCATGGCTGGATCTTTACCTGCGTGCAGAGGACGGCTTGAGATGGCTTGAACCAGTCAGGAGGGAGTAACACCACACAGGGTTGCTGTGAGGACTGAGCACCAAATAAGCTAAAAGAGCCAAAGCCGACAGGATGCAGCGTGTGTGTGAGCTGAGCCTTCTTCAATGGGCAGGAGACCCTAGGCCCTTCTCCGGCAGGGAAGGCAGCAGTCCCAGGGGCCCAGGGGCCCAGACTTTTCAGGGCAGAGGCCTGCAGGGAGCACCTCTCCACCCTGAGTACACTCCTTCCTGGGACCTTCCAGCCAGGGGACGCTACCCAGGCCTTCGCCTCCTGGATCTTTCCACTGATGGCTCCATCGTCACAGGGGATGAGGGCACCAGCGAGCAGGCCACTGGTAGCTTCCATGTGAGTCTTTTTTTTTTTTTTTTTTTTTTTTGATGCAGAATCTTGCTCTGTTACCCAGGCTGGAGTGCAGTGATACGACCTCAGCTCACTGCACCCTCCGCCTCCCAGGTTCAAGTGATTCTCCTGTCTCAGCCTCCTGAGTAGCTGGGACTACAGGTTCATGCCACCACGCCTGGCTAATATTTTGTATTTTTAGTAGAGACGGGGTTTCACCGTGTTAGCCAGAATGGTCTCGATCTCCTGACCTCATGATCTGCTCGCCTCAGCCTCCCAAAGTGCTGGGATTACAGGCGTGAGCCACCGTGCCTGGCCTATCATTTTTTCTTTAGAATCTATAGTCACTATATCAGTATAACTAGTATAAGGAGGTAGAATTACTTGATAGTTAAAAGCACAGACTCTGGACGTGGTCACCCTGGGGGTTCAATCCTGGTTGGGCCACCTGCCATCCATGTGATCAAAAGCAAGGTAACTTTTTACCTGTAAAATGGTCATGATAAGAACACTTATCTCATAGGGTTGTTAAAGGAGGTAACATATTTGGTGTAATAATGTTTTTTGATATATTAACTTTTAAGTTATTAACTAATTCTCTTTCTGGAACTGTTCTTTGTGGTATATTCTTTGAAGGAAAATGGGGCAGAGCAGGGAGTGGAACTGGTGGGGGAAAAAAAAACAAAAAGTGTCTTCCTAATTTGACACCCCCTAGATCCATTAAGAGAAGGATACCAGGGGATGTATTTTAAGCCAATAGCAAGGGAGGAATTGTCTCTGAGACAACTGATGGGCCCTGAAGAATAGAAAAGACTCTCTCCTTTCCGGAGAGAAAAGAAAGAAGCTGAGAGAAGTGTGTGTGTGTGTGTGTCTGAGTCACTGGAGAGAAGTCCAGACTTAATCAGAACCAAGCCCCTAAGAATAAGGGACAGCTCAGCAAAGGGGATATTCTATTAGTTATCTATTGCTCTGTAACAATTTACCCCAAAACTTAGTAGTCAAAGAAAACAAACTTTTATTATATCACAGTTTCAGGGG